CTAGGGAGAGATTTTTTCCCCCTCTGGCAAGGTGAGTTCCATTCCCAAGAGCTGGACCAAGAGTAAGATCTGTCTCCTACACTCATGGGCCTCATTCCACTGGAATGTACCCATTATGGGAGGTAGTGGCGACAGAGAGAAAGGCGTTCTTTAGGTAAGCATGCCCAGTCCCACAGAGGGCTCTGCGTGTCCCAACAAACCTTGAACAGGACTCTAAATTCAAAGGGAGTCAGAGTGGAGCTCCAGATTGATAGTCACATATGTTAAGAGAGCATAATGAGTAGAGCAGTGGTTCTCAAACTTTTGTACTGGTGACCCCTTTCACATAGCAAGCCTGTGAGTGCAACCCCCCCCCCCTTATAAATTAAAAACACTTTTTAAATGTATTTAACACCAATATAAATGCTGGAGGCAAAGCGGGATTTGGGGTGGAGGTTGACAGCTCACAACCCCCCCATCTAAACCTCACAACCCCAACCCCCAGTTTGAGAACCCCTGGAGTAGGGCCTCCTTCATAACAGGCCAGAGATTTTCACTGCAATTCTTGCATCAGGTACAATTGCTCTCTAGAGCATATATTTTAGAAAGACATTAAGTGATGGAGAATTCACACCCCTAGGTAAGTTACCTGTTAAAAATCTGCACTTCATTTCTAGTTTGAAACTATTTTACCTTCAGTCGTCTGGATCTTGTTCTGCCTTTGTCTGCTAGCAGCAATTTCTTCCCCACCTAGGTATCTATAGACTAATCAAGTTGCCTCAACCTTTTCTTGGATCAAATAGTTTGAGCTTCTCTAGTCTCTCACTGGCAGGTTTTCCAGAGTTTGGAAAGAGCTCAAAGAATGATTCAATCTATCAACAATCTTTTCAAAGCTGACCAGAACGGGACACAGTATCCCACTAAAGGTCTCATGGACACTGCATTGTCCTAATTCAATATTATCTTGGTTATGCACCCAAGGATCACATTTCTTCTTAACCACTGCATGGCGCTGTGAGCTTATATTCAGGTGATTATCCACCACAACCTAAATCTTTTCTGAACCTCAGCTTTCCAACACACAGTTCCCATCCTGTAAGTATGACCTAAAACCTTGGTATTTAGATGTACAGCTTTACATTTAACTGTATTAAAAAGTGGTGTTCAACTGTGCCTAGCTTACCTAGGCAATCTCTAAAGCTGACCTGTCATTATTTAGCACTCCATCAAGTTTTATGTCATCACAATTTTTACCAGGATTTCCCCCCAAATCACTGATAAAGACATGGAACAGTATAGGGCCGAAGAACAGATCCGATGGGACCCCATTAGATTAAGCCCCCAACTCAGTTATATTTTGAGGCTCAAATAAGTGTTCTGTGCAGCTCATCTCACCAACAGAAGTCAGCCCAATAAAAGATATTGCCTCACCCACTTGGTCTTGAATATTCTTGGACCGACACTGCTACATGACCACTGCAATTTTGACATAAGTTAATGTACTACATTGATTTTCTATAATATTGATTTCTAAAGTGGCAAACTGACAGAATGGGGTGCAACATTCAGGCCAATCAAATGGCAATAGTTTTGCCATCTGGCTGTTTGGGCATCCAAAAGGAAGCCAGTAACTACAGACTGATTTAAGAATCAATGAGAAAATGCTTTTGGTGGCAGGTGCTATTATAAAGCAGGCAAGTTCTTCAAACTGCTTCTAGCCTAGTTTGAGTTTAGGCAGCTGATCTTCATCAGTTATTTATACGAGGCATTTAGAGCCGATGCATTTGGTGTTAAGATGGTGTGGCACGAGGTGTCAGATGACTACCGCTGGAGCTCCTGCTGCTACCCTTCTCCAAATAGCTGTTTAGCTGTTGACTAATGGGGGGGGATAAGCCTATGCCAATTCAGTCAGTTCTGAGCCAGTGCAATGTGTTTCCATTCACCCCTGCAGCCTCTCAGAAGCAAGATGGAAGGGAATGATACATTTACTATTCCACCCTCCCCCCTTTCCTTCATAAAGAGGAAGTATACACAGACAGTAGCTTGTTGACTCCACCCAGCTTTTCTGCCATACACCCTCAACACCCCACTGTTGCCCAGGGCTATGCCTCTGCTGTTCCCTTTCACTTGCTCATTCCTTCTCCTACTAGCAGAGCAGCCTCCTCCACAGGTAGTTAGGAGAGCACTTATTTCCAACTGATTAGGCTCTTAGCATTCAGGCTCTTCAGTGTGTAACAGCTGTGAACAAGGAGCTGCCTCTAGTGCCTTCCCAGCTCTCCAGAAACAGATGTGTCATGCAGCAACAAGAACCACTGTCAGCAAGTGTTAGTTGCAAAAGCCAGGCACAAGTTTGTGCCAAAAGGAAAGTGGAAGGTAGGAAGAGCAGTTTTCCATTGCAGACAAGTTACTTGTACCTTTTCAAATCAGCTACAGTCCCAAGAGACTTGGTGAAGGGAGGAAGAGATTATCTACTTCTCTTTGCAATAGAAGAGACACCCCTTGAGAAGAGAATTTCTCCTGTTTCCGCTAAATCTCTCTTTACCCCACTTGACTCCCAACCCTCAATTTCCATTTCATAATATGGAGGTACCACAAGGCTGATGCAAGTAGACCCACCTACTGCAAAAAGAAGAACAGGAGTACTTGTGGCACCTTAGAGACTAACACCTTAGAGACACCTACTGCCTGCATCATCTGTTAACTTAAAGTAATGTTGAGTATCAGAGGGGGAGCCGTGTTAGGCCTGGTCCACACTAACCCCCCACTTCGGACTAAGGTATGCAAATTCAGCTATGTTAATAACATAGCTGAACTCGAAGTACCTTAGTCCGATCTTACTGCGGGTCTAGACACGGCAGGGATGCTCCCCCATCGATGCCGCGTACTCCTCTCGCCGAGCTGGAGTACCGGCATTGACGGCGAGCACTTCCGGGATCGATTTATCGTGTCAAGACCAGACGCAATAAATCGATCCCAGAACATAGATTGCCTGCCGCCGGACCCAGAGGTAAGTGAAGACTTACCCGTAGTTTGGATCTGCATGCAGCTGACCAAGTGGGCATTCACCCACAAAAGCTTATGCTCCAGTAAGTCTATAAAGTGCCACAGCACTGTTGCTTTTTAAAGTAATGTGATTCTACTGTGTAACTATGATCATATCAATAAAGATCTTTATTGGCCTAAAAAAGGCCAAGTAATTTAGGAAGACTATTCAATAGCTAAACAGTGATAGTATTAATGCAAGATATTTATGTGGAGTTGCCATTGTTGGCAACAGCTATTAATTTCAAATTAGTTACTAGAGTCATGCTATATTGTGCCTCTAGAAAGCAGGATTACTTTTAGTGTTAATGCCACAGACACCTTAAATACCAATACATACAGCTACTGACAAATGTAGCATGGCATTGGGCAGAGATACAACATACTAAGAACACCATGCCATGTATCAAGGGATCACAACACTGGATATGTAACACAGCAGTTCCACTGCTGGCATTAAATTTCAGCGTTTACTTGGGTAAGATTTGTTTTATGGGACATTATGCCATTGTCTCTTGGAATTATTGATTAGTTTAACTGAACACACTGATGCTGGAGACACTGCAATGCATAAATCATTTTCATTAGATTTCTTTAGCCACACCAGGGAAGCCCTCTCCAATTGTGTTTCATTTAGTGTTTTATACTCTGCTTTGAATGTAAAGACTCTGGTAGATTAGTACTGACAGGAGGCCTCCAGGGAGCCTCAATCAGGGGTGGCCAAACCACAGCTGGCTAACCACATGCAGCTCTTTCAGAGTTAAAATGCAGCTCACTGAGCCCCCCCGCGCACATTCTCTGCCTACCAGACGGCAGGGGGGAGCTTAGGGCTTCTGCAGAGTGGTGGGACTAGAGGTTTGTGCCAGAGACAATTGGTACCTGCTGAGAATGGGGAGTACAATTTAAAGGTTCAGCCTCCCCCCACATCCAACAGCTTGGGACCTACACCCTCCCCCCCCATGCCCCTCCTCCCATCCCTCAGCAACCCCTCCCTGCAGCTCCCCAGTGTTTGCCACTGCCTCTCCCCACAGCTGCAGCTCCAGGGAGGTGACCTGGCCACACCATGTGACTGAGCAGAGCCAGCAAACCCTAGCACCAAAAATAAAAAAAATAAAAAAGTCAGGGAGGCACATGCCCCCCAACCCTGGCAGGCATGCCCCAGCTCTTGAACTTCTGAAGATTTTGAGCCACATATGACAAAGTTTGGCCACCCCTGGCCTGGATGCTGCAAGGAGCAGTAGTGGTAAATTTAAGAGGTTGCAGTGCTTGCAGATGAACTACTCAGTGACTAAGTCAACCTACACTACGTGAACAACATAGCTGGAGTCAGCGTACCTTAGGTCGAGTTACCGCTGGGGTCAATAGGAGAAAAATCTCCAGTCGACTTACCTTACTCTTCTTCTCAGGGGTAGAGTATAAAGTGTTGACTGGAGAGCGATCTACAGTTGGATTTGGTGGGTCTTTACTAGACCTGCTAAATCAACAGCTGGTGGATTGATCCCAGCTGTAGTGTCAACCTGCCCAGTGTCTCACTGTGCTGTGTTTCCAAAATACAGAATAGGGCTTTTGCTAATTGGCATCTAAGCACTTAGGACCTTACCCTGCACCAAATTAACTAAATAGGAGTTTTACTATCAGTGGTTTCGTGTCACATTTTACCATTAAAAACCCTGCTTAGCCATTCATTCTGTAGTGGCCTTAAGAGTATTCAATTGGCAGGCATCCACTGTAACTCCCATGCTGCTGGGGACAGGTCATCAACACTAAGCTACAGAGGCTTCCAAAACAGTTTTAATCTAGGGATTTCCCTAAAGGAATCCCTGTAGGACAGTTTTAGAAGCCTGGCTACTATCATTATGTAGTATCCGTAGCTAATCTATGCTTCTTCAGAGAAAGATTTCTTGCCAATCTTAGGAAAAAACATGATTGCTACACAAATGCCCCAAGCAGATTTCCTTAAAAAAAGAAAACTCATGTGGTTTAGCTTGTTTTATTTATTTAATTTCATAATCATAAACTTAACTCTGCAGTGCAGCTAGACTTGTGAAGATAAGGGAAATGAAACCCAATAGAAATGCAGCAGTAGGTCAGGAACACAAGAATTACAAGGGGCTAAACACCATGGTATGTTAGCCCCAGCTACAGAAGGAATGGTTGGTTAAGACAGAAAGGAATTTTATGACAGCTGCCCACAGTTAGCAATGGTGACCTTCTTCTTTGTTTTGCCCTCTCTTGATCCAAGGCCAGACATTGCCTCCACCACCTTCATCCCATCTTTGACACGGCCAAAGACAACATGCTTCCCATCCAACCTAAGATAAAACACACATTTTATAGGATCATGTTGCTGAGAAGCACCAATCTGACTTGTTTGTGACCTACTGTATTAAACCACTAATTTCAGGAAGCTTGTATAATCAGCAACCTTGTTAGTACTCAGTTTTTGCTATAGAAATTTCCATTGAGCATGATGGGAGGCTGGTAAAGTGAGAGATGAGCCACCAGACAGGAAGTATTACCCTCAAAAATCTGTCAGATACGGGAGGATCTGGGGAATTACACACTTGCTTCTGGGCATTGTTACAACAACTGTAGTTTAGGGCTCAATGAAGCCTCACTATACAGAAACCTTGAGACCAGAATTGTTTGAGGTTTCATTATGTACACTGATCAGGATCACAGGAACATTTTGGGGAACAGGCCACACTACACTAGAATTAAACAATGCATTAGAGGGCTATGGCAAAGTTAATAAAACCCCAAAAGGTGTTGAGTAAATTCAGAGATGAATGAAGAGTACAGATTCCAACAGTACTTACCACTCAGTCTTAGCCGTGCAGATGAAGAACTGGGATCCATTTGTGTTGGGGCCAGCATTTGCCATAGACAAAATGCCAGGACCTGTGTGCTTCAGGATGAAGTTCTCATCAGCAAACTTCTCACCATAAATCGATTTACCACCAGTTCCATTATGACATGTAAAGTCACCACCCTGCAAAAAAAGCAAGCACTGAAAGTGAAATACAGCGATGCCCACCCTTCTAATCGGTCAGGCAGACTTCTAATCTATACAAGACTGCTGCTCAAGCTACCAGTACAGTCAAAGCCACCCCTTTACTCAATCAGGCACAAAACCTGAAGGCTAGTGACAGCCTTCTTGTCTGTTTACTGTCAGTCTTGAACCCCTAAGCAAGACTGTCCTATAAAATTGCAGAATCACTTCTTTGACTGTTTCAAAGTATAGGAGCTGCAACAAAACTACTGAAAGAGGCCATAACCAAGTAGTAAGAAAGTCAGTGACGCATACCTGGCACATGAATCCAGGAATGATCCTGTGAAAGCAGGACCCCTTGTAACCAAATCCTCTCTCCCCAGTGGTCAGGGCACGGAAGTTTTCTGTCAATGTAAGACAGTCATTACTAGATGGAATTTATAGGAACACCCATTGGCAAGCCTCTGGGTGAAAATTTCAAACTTATTCTTAATAAAAGTAAACTGAAGACTGCAATGCAGTCTCCATGATCTTGAGTGGTTTTTACAGACCTGCTGTCTTTGGAACCTTGTCTGCAAACAGCTGTAGAAGAAAAGAGAGTCAGTTAAGTCATTTTGCATAAAGAGTGTTTGCCAACTACTAAAACAGGAGAAACAAATCAGCATACTACAACATAACGATTTATGGGAGAATCTTGCAGTGGCTGTAGTTTGTTGAATACAAGTTGTGCTATGGCTACATTCCATCACTTGAAATCCATGACAGAAGCCTACATGGCGTTGAAATTGTTTCTTTAAATGCAATCCAGGATTCTGCAAGCCATGCTTTACTTCCCTCAGAGATCATGTTCCATGGCTTTTGCCACCAGCTCCTCCTTATATGAGCAGAACCTGGCAGCTGGAACAAGGATTAGACTCCATTATTAAATTCATTCACAAGATTCTGTATCAGCTTTTATGAAGCTGATAGTTTTGTACGAGACAAAGCATACACTTGGTCCAACTGCAACCTTGTTAGAAGGGTTATTAAGCCAAGCTCATTTCCTGGTACAGTAGTGTGCGGGAAGCAGCAGTGGGTTTCCACTATTCTCTCTGTCAGACTGGACTGTGTCAGAGGGACTCAAACAAAATGGAGTCCCTGGACAAAGGATGCACTGTCTGTTAACTACAGTTTATGCACTTACACACCTGTTCACAGGAGAAGCCTTTATGTTCCAAAAGGAAAGTTATTTGAGTGGTTAATGAGACCAGTTAGAAAGTCTTGCTCAAAGCTTATTCTCAACCACTGGGACACAGGTTTTGCTATTGACAAGCATACCAAGGAGTCAAGAATCTGATTTATGTAACTTTTGGTGATGAGCTTACTATTAACCTCAAGTTTGGCAATCAAACATCAAATGATTAATGGAGTACAATCATCAGAGCACTTACTAACAGTCTGAACTCTGGTTTGCTTAAAAACTACAGAGTGCTTTGTTGCCCTGATGAAAGGTACTGCTACAGAGATTTATACCTGCCTCTGGAAGTTTCCATTAATTGCATCTGATGAAGTGGGCATTCACCCACGAAAGCTTATGCTCCAATACTTCTGTTAATCTTAAAGGTGCCACAGGACCCTCTGTTGCTTGCTACAGAGAATTAGTGGTCTTCACACTCCCCTCCCAGCACTGTTAGGCATTTGCTCTCTGCTCCATACCATAGAAGTCCTTACATGTTAGAAAAAGGAATGTCTGCATCAATAAAGCTTGCTATCCTTTTCACACCTCAGCTTGAGAAAGCTCACAATTTGAGGTTTCTGACCCAAAATGAGGGGCTGTTATACAAGCAGGCAGTTTAGCATGCAGTCCTTGGGTTCAAAGTACTATAACCGCCATGCCAGGATTTCCGATTTAACTATTACGAGTAAAGTGAATAGATCCAGGATTACGAGCTTGGGGACTAGAGCATATCTTCGCCTTCAAAAGAAGTACCCAAGGCAAGATGACGGCTCGGAGAATCTCACTCCAGCATGAAGCACATCCCTTTCGCCGCTAACAGGGCTTTAGATATGCAGGGCCTGGAGACGGACTTTGTCTGGAGAGCAACAGCAGCGTGATGGGGCTTCAGTTACAGCCTGGGGCTAATTGGCGACCATGAGCTCTTGATCCAGGGCGAGATCTGCGAGTGTACGAGCAGCTTCGA